CAGAGGCGCCCCAGCAACCCACAGGACCACCAGGCTCGGCGCACTCCTGGTTGCGGCGGCACGTCAGGACCGCGATGGACTCCACCGAGCTGGGCCACGGGACTCCTAGAGTCAGCGTACTGTTCGCGGGGATGGGCTCATGCGCCAGAGCAACATGGCACTGAGGGTAGGTCGTCGGCGGCGGGAACGGGGTCGGGCGGGCGGTCTGGGTTGGGCGTCAGGTATGGCGTCGGGTTGGTCTGGGGCGTCGGATCGGGAATCTGGCCGGAGTGGGGCGTCGGGCTGGTGTAGGGCGTCGGGCTGGGGCGCAGCGTCGGGTAGGGCGTGGAGCTGGGGTAAGGCGTCGGATACAGCGTCGCGTTGGGGCAGGGCGTCGGGATGGGGTAGGGCGTCGGGTAGGCCGTCAAGGAGCTTGCCTACACAAGTTCTGAAGCGGTTTGCCAGGAAAGAACCCAACATGCCGGGAACGGGCGCAGCTTACCCGGAATAACGAATATTTTCCTCCCTTCCCCCCGAAGGCGTCGCCGCCGCTTTCATCTGGAGCGCGAAGCACCAGGCCCTTGCGCCCAAGGCGCGCCCGCAGCCGCCGCCGCCCCGGCATCCCCCCCCCCATCGGGGAGGCTCTGGGCCCGATCCCCGAGCCCCCCCCGATCCCTCCTCTTTCAGCTGCTGCTGCTGCTTTTCCTCCTCGTCCTCCCTCTCCGCCTCGTCCTCCTCCTCCTCGTCCTCCTCTTCCTCGTCGTCGTCGTCCTCCTCCTCCTCCTCCTCCTCCTTGCGTCGCCCCCGTCGGCCACGGCCGCCGCCTCTTCTGGGCGGCGTGGAGGGGTGGGTGGGCTGTTGAGGCGCGCGCTCGCGCGGGGGGGCCCTCGAGACCCTGGCGCCGCAGCCTGTTCACAGCGGGCGACCCTGCGACCGGATGCGGCTCGACAACTGCCGCAGAACGAATGGGCCTGCTTATTGTTTGCTTGTTGTTGCTGTTGCGTGTTACTGAACACTTCTCATTGTTTGACCCCCTAACGGCACCCTGGCGCTCTCGCTTCGGCAACAGCTGCCTGTACGTCGAAATTGAGGATCACGCTCGAGCGTTTCGGGGTACCGGCCAAACCATTCCCACAACAACAACGACAACAACAACAACATCAACAACAACAACATTAACAACAACACAACCAACGGCAGCAACAGCATCAACAACACCAACAACAACATCAGTAGCAGCAACAACACCAGCAGCAGTAGCAGCAGCTATAGCAACAACAGCAACAACAACAGCCACAGCAACAACAACAACAGCAGCACCACCAACACCAACAACCACAACAACACTACCAACAACAGCAGCAGCATCATCAACATCAAAAACATCAAAAGCATCAATTACAACAGCAACAACAGCAGCCGCATCAACGAAAGCAACGACAACGCTCCCGTGAGATACATCCTCACAATTCACTCCGAGAGGCCCTGGCCAGAGAGGGCCCGGGTCTCAGGAAGGTCGCTCTCGCCTGGGGCCTTTCGCAATTTAGCACATGCCAGTACGGTGTTTTCGCTCGAGACTTCTTCGCAATCCAGCACCGTAGGAGGGTCCTTGAGAGCAGTCTTGCTGCCTCGCGGATGCCGGAACGGCCGTTTCGCTGGAGACGTCCTCGCAATTCAGCACCACAGGGGAATCTGTCAGAGCAGTCTTGCCGCTACTTGCGGAGGCCGCGGGAGGCCCCAAGACGCTCGAGGGAGATCTGTTTGGGGATAGTTTTTTGGCGGGCGTGGTCTGCACGCGCGCCCCGCCCGGCCGGCCTCGAGACCCGGTGGTGCGCGGCCGGCTTGACTCTGATCGGCGTCCAGCTGGGCGAATAAACGGCGAGCCGGGCCGCGACGCCACTGGGCAAGCTGGCGCGGCTGCCGACGCAGGCCCCCCCGCATTGGCCAGCGACGCAGGCGGCCAGCCTCCTGCTCCAGCATTGCGGCGCCGGCAAGCTCGCGCAGGTGCGAGCCCGCTTGCGAGCACGCGGGCCGCCGATTCCGCTTGCGACCAGGCCGCGCTGGGCGTCTGCGGGGACCTCGCGCGGCTGAGCCCACGCGCGGCCGTGCAGGAGAAGCAGTGCTAGCTTCCGCTGCGACTTGGCGGCCGCGGCCTCCAGAGCCAGGCCCAGCTCGCCGATGCCGCGTGGGTGGCGTCGCGGGCGCAGAGCGTCGCCGCCGTGCAGAGCCCGACTGGGCTGCGGGGGCTGCTTGACCTGCGGGCCTCTGCCTTCCCACTCACCGCCGTCTGCCGGGGCGCCCTGGCGGCGCTGCCAGCGGCGCGCCGCCGACGCTGACCGCGCGCCGCCGCCGCCGCCCTGGCAAGAGCCCGCCCAGGAGCTTCAAGGGAAGACACAAAAGACGGTCACTCGCAGGCTTGACCAACATTATTACGACGCCTTTGCGAGCGACACGAGGGTCCAGGACGCAAGGGCGCCGCTCCGCTCCTGCGGCGGGCCGCGCGCGGCGGGCTCGCAGCCGGCCGCCAGCAACGGCTGAGCGACGAGGACTACTGCGACGAGGGCGCTGGTCGGCCAAGACAGCGCACCGCCAGGCGGCCGTTGCTAGAACCGCACCCGCACGGGGCCGCGCGCTGGCCAGCTTTGCGGCGAGCCACTTTGTGGCCAAGCGCAGTGCGCCTACCGCTGCGCCTGCGAGGGGGGGCGCGGATGCACGCATCCGCCACCTCGAGGACGTGTGAACGCATTCACGCGGAGCGGAGTGCGTCCTTGCCTGGGACCGGTGGCGCTGGCGCTGCACCGCGTCCTGCTGCGACGCATGCGGCGGCAGCGCCTTCGCCCCGCCGGCGGTGCCTTGCGCGGCCCGCGGAGCGGCTCTCCTGGACCTCGAGATGCAGCGGCCGGGATGCTCCCGGCTCTTCGCCAATATCATGGTGGGGCGTGGCTCCCCTGGCGAGGAGCGCGTGCTGGGCGACGCCCGACGGCGCCGTCACCCAGGAGGAGGCCGAGGCGGACAAGCGCTGGCGCTACTCTCTGGGGGGCGCGCCGCTTGGACCGTCCTCCCCCCGGCGGCCGGGCGCTGGAGACGGGGTGCCGGCGCGGGCCTGTAGCGCTCCAGCACCTGCGTTGGTGTGCCCGCGAGTGGGCTTGCAGCTGCTGGGCGACGGCGCCGGGCCGAAGCGGAGGCAGGGGCGGCGCTGGGTTCAGCGTGGCCCTTCGGGCCGACGCCGCCGGGCAGCTGCGCAGCGCGTTCGGACGGGAGCGCGCGGGCAGCGGCGGCGGCCGCCGCCCTGGCCGAGGAGCTGGCCGTCTAGCCAGCGCCGCCAGCCACGGTTCGCTGGTGCGGCGGCTGGAAGACGAGGTGAAGGGGGGCAAATGAGGGGGTCGATCAGGTCTCGTTCGGCGACACAGAAGGGGGCGTATGTGCGGCACAGAATGCGCTCGGACTCGCATGATGATGATGATGATGATGATGATGATGATGATGATGATGATGATGATGATGATGATGATGATGATGATGATGATGATGATGATGATGATGATGATGATGATGAGGATGAGGATGAGGATGAGGATGAGGATGAGGATGAGGATGAGGATGAGGATGAGGATGAGGATGAGGATGAGGATGAGGATGAGGATGAGGATGAGGATGAGGATGAGGATGAGGATGAGGATGAGGATGATGATGATGAGGAGGAGGAGGAGGAGGAGGAGGAGGAGGGGGAAGAGCAAAAAGGGGATGAGGAGGAGGAGGAAGAAGATGAGGAAGAAAAGGGGGAGGAGGAGAAGGCGGAGGAGGAGTAGTAGTACGAATAAGAATATTACAAGCATACGACTGCGATTGATCATGCAAATAATCAAATTACGAGTATTAAATCTCAATTAGCAAGAATAGGACGGACAAAACGATTAACAATGGTGCGAATGAGACAACGCACAATAATACACATATCAATCGTACAAGAAAGGCAAGCATACGAATCGTATTCATGACACGGGGAATAATCGTAACACGAATCATGCAAATTTGATAAAAAAGACTAGTGCTTCGACTGCTACTATGCTACTATTACTACTACCAATATAAATAATATTAATCATGCTTCTAAGATTAGTAAGATTTATAATGCGAGCCGTCTGAAAATAATCATCAGCATAATGTTAAGACGAGTGATAGCACGACTAGTAATAATACGAATATGAATCATAGTGATAATAATAGTAATAAGCAGACAAGCAGAATTTTCCAATCATAATAAGACGAATGATAGTAAGGCGACGCTTAAAACCATACGAAGACTAATGCGAACAATTCGCCAGCCCAGCGGGCCAAGTGTGCGTTAAGATCTCCAGTAACTGGTTAACAATATTTCTAGTTCGCGCGCGCGGGGTGGGGTACCCAGGCGAAAAGTACCCCGGGCAAGGTCCGGGCAGAGTCCCGGCCAGGTTCCAGCCAGGTCCCGGCCAGGCCCCAGCAGGCTTCCAAGAGCGCTCCAGGAGCACTCCACGTGGCCTCCAATGGTCCGAGACGGTCCAAGAACGATACAAGACGCCAGAGATGGCCTCAAGACGGCCCAAAACATTTCCAATACGGCCCAAGAGGCTTCCAAGAGGCCTCCCAAGAGGGCCCACAGAGGCACAAATTGGTGATGGATCCGTGTGTTTTTGAAGGATTTCGGCGTTCTCGCCTTTATGATTCACCGGCGCTCCAAAGCGCTCCAAGACGGCCCAAGAGGCTGCCAGGATCGCGCCGACGCGGCCCACGAGGCGTCCAAAATCGCCCAAAACGGCCCAAGAGGGCCCCAAGACAGCCCCAGAGGCCTCCAAGATGGCCGAAGAGGCTCCCAAGACGGCTCCAAGAGCGGGCCCAGACGGGAGACCCGAACGGAGATTTCGAGCTCTAGGCCCAGAGGCCCCCCAGATTCCCCAAGAGGCCCCCACAAGGCCCCCAAGAGGCTCCCGTGACGCCCCAGGAGGTCCCAGAAATACCACCAAGAGGCCCAGTGATACAAGATGCCGTAGCAATTTTGGCTCAAGCCGTTTTCGCTCCAAGGAGTGGACCTCGCAGATCTCGAGAAGGCCGCCGCGGCCAGCCCATGGATGCTGGGACGCCACCGTGGCGGGCCACTGGGCGCGGGCTGCGGCGCGGGCTCGCACGGGCGACCCGGAGGTTGGGACCAGACGGCGAGATCGATGGTTGGACGCTCTCGTTCGCGGACCCGCGGGTGGAGAGCGGTTTCCTGAGTAGCAGCCGCGAGCAGTTGCGGTCGTCTTTTCGGCGCGTGGTCGTCGTCATTTTATGCGGTGCGGCTTCTGCGGTGCACTTCCATACGTCCGGTGTCGCGGAGCACGGGAACCAGATGCAGGAAGCATCTTTTTTGAAGATGTTGCAGGTGGCTCTGCAGGTTGCGTGCTACAGCGTTGAACTGTCGGTGCTGCTCGCAGCCATCGCATTGTCGGGCCACGGCCTGATAAGAACACGTGGCATGGAAGCTTGGGCTGTTGTTGTTATAATAGTGTCCGAGGTTCACACATGCATCAACATAAGACATTACCTTGCACGGGCGTTCGGCTACGAAGATCCGAGTGCTGTGTATGGGGTGGACCTTTCCGGCACAGACGCCCCGTTCTTGTTGGGACTCATTTTGTGTGTCGCAGGGGCAGGCGTGATGGTCAGATGGAAGTTGTTTGTGCCCATTGCATTGGCATCCGTGCTCGGGTATGCGGCCGCAGCCTACCTCCTCGGCAGCCCAGACATGACGATGGTAACCACTAACCTGCTCTTCTTCACCTGCATCGTGCTGGTGATGTGCAGCGGGAAGCGGAGCTCCGAGATCCAGGCCCGCCTGCTCCACCTGTCGTATCTGAGGGAGAAGGGCATGCGCGTCCAGGCCGAGTTCTCCCTGGAGTGCCTGCAGGACCGCGCGGACCTCGTGGCGGAGCTGGGCAGCTCCTTCGCGGCGGCCTCGTCGCATGTGCCCGGCGGCGCCGCTGCGCCGCTCCGCCCGGGCTCCCCGCGCTACGCCTCCAGCGAGCCCGCCGTCTCGGAGGCCGCGCGGCCCGGCCAGGGCGCCGTCTCGCAGGGGCCGGGCGGCCTACCGCTGGAGGCCAGCGTGTGGGTCGAGGGCCAGGCTGGCTCCTGCCTGCTCCGGGACCTCGGGCAAGGTCAGCGGGTGCTGTGCTACGACACGCTGGGGCGGTCGATCAGATACGCCCAGGTACTCGAGATGCACGTCAAGTTCCTGGCCGCTGCGTGGATCAACGTCGGCCTCGACGACGGAACGCAGCTGGCGATGACTGCGGACCAACCAGTGCAGCCTGCAGACCGGAGAGAGGTGGTTCGGGCTGCGGACTTGTCCCCAGGAGTCGATCGCGTGGTGGTGCACAGGGTGGCGACGGCGCCCGTCGCTGTCAAGGAGGTGTCGCGGCAGCCAGAGGCGGGGAGCGCGCTCGGCTGGGCGCACCTGGCGGTGCAGCAGCCCGAGCGGCACATGGTCCTGGTCGCGGGGCCAGGGGCGGGGTCGCCGCAGGACGCGAGGTCGATGGCGGTGTACTCCGCGGGCCTGGGCGCCGGCCCGCACGGCCGCGCTGCCCCGGAGCAGGACGCGAGCCCACGGATGGCCCGAGCGCGGTCGGTGCCGCCCCAGTGTTAGCCACGGCGTCGGCCGAGGGCCGGCGGTCAGAGCAGGGAAAGGTGCCTATGCCGAAGCCCGTTTTTCTCGGGGCCGACGGTTCGAATTGCTCGTTCGGGCTTCCCGCGTGGGTACCCACTTGGAGCTGTTTTGGGCGGCGTGCTGATGGCAGACGCTTCCGTGCACATTTTCACCCACTGCTCACGCGTTGTGGCCGGCACAAGGCTTCTGGACTGTCATTTTTCCAGTGCCCCGTTAGACGACATCGGTGTCCACATCTTAGTTTTTTGGTGCGGGTCGACTTGGGCTGCGCGGCCGACGCGAGGCTGCATTTAACTCCCGTTTCTGCGTCCGCCTGCGCGGTGGGTCGCCCTGTATCGGCGCCCGTGCGCATTCACGCCATATTTACTTCCTCGACCGGCGTCGAGTGTTGCTTGTTGTATTTGCTATCCCGGGCAGCCCAGCCCGCCTCGCTATGATACGACCCCTGGGTATTTCGTATCATTGTAGTCTTCGAAGCTCCGCCACAGGAGGGGCAAACATTTACACTGATAGGCATGCGGGATAGTCTGTTCCCGCTTCTTCTCCTCTTCCTCCTCCCCCTTCTCTTCCCCCGCCTGTGTCTCGTTGCTTGATGCTGTCCTAGTCATCTGGTTGTTCACCCCACATCGCTGCAACAAATGTGGCTGTTTTCCCGTCTGGTTTGCACGACCTGCCGGCGGAAACCGTGACAGGCGCTGCTTTGCAACCATCTCCTGCTCGTGTGGGACATTTGTGCGAGTACCCCAGGCTATGCCCTGGCTGGTCTACGCATTCGCGAGCTGGATTGTTTTCTTTCTTCCCTTCCTCGTCCTCCTCCTCTCTCCTCCTCCTCCTCCTCCTCCTCCTCTCCCCCCCTCAGACAAATGCACCGAGGAGGTTGCATTTGAGTCGCGAATTATTCCTCATCTGTAGTGCCACCCGTGTGCTGCTGTTCCCTGCTTTGAACGGGGGTCCAGGGGCATGGAGTGCCCGGCATGGTGCAACAAGGAGGTTGCATTAGAGGCGCGTTCTATTCCTCATATGTAGTGCCACCCGTGTTCTGTTGCACCCTGCTTTGAAAGGGGTCCAGGGGCATGGAGTGCTCGATATGGTTCAAAAAAAAGCGTGTCTGCGCCCGCTACGGTGAGCGTGTAGCTCCAGACCGGCAAGTGTTCCATCACGGATTGGCATCCGTGCGGCTAGCGAGTATCTTCATGCATGCCCGCAATTGCATTATGTTCCGCGGTCTCCTCCCTCCTTCTACCAACAGCGCGCTGGCAGTGTCAGCGTTCACATTCGTCGCCGTGCTCGAGCTCGAAGCACCAGCTCAAGGCGCACATCTTTGCGAGAATGAGGCGATCATTGCGAGATGAATGCGTAATTACGGCCCGCGCCTCGTGTCCGCGCTTGGTCTCTTGAATCAGACACTTGAGTGGCACATTGTTAGTTTCCGCTTGGCATTTTTTTAATGATTTTAAGAGGTGGCAGTTGTTCTACATTTGACAGGGCGACGATGGCAGAGCGGACATGAGTTATGCAGGCACACACTCTCTGAGAGTGTGTGGGCCGTCCAGCTCAGTAGACGCCCGGATTGTTTCAGGATGGCCTGTGGGGGCAACGTCGAGGCCCGACCCAGCTTTTCACGAGCGTTATGCAGGCACGCACTCTCTGAGAGTTTGTGGGCCGTCCAGCTCAGTAGACGCCTGGAATGTTTCAGGATGGACTGGGGGCAACGTCGAGGTCCGACCCAGCTCCTCACGAGCTATGACCTGTCACTGCCCATACAGGCAAAGTACAAAAAAGGCCCAGTGATACAAGATGGGCCAGGAGAGTGAGCGAAGCGATTAAATACTAATAGTAAGACAAATGATTAAAATAGTATTCATAATCAAAAGAAGACTACCAATTAGAAAACGAATGAACCTAACATGAATAATACGACGACTAGTAATAGTCATAATCATAAACGTAACTATAAGACGAAAAATATGACGATTAATAACAATACTAATAGTAAGAGCACTACTAAAACAACAATACTTGTAATGTGAAAGGAATCATCATAACGAGACTGGAATACTACGGAGGGTAATAAGAATCGTACTACTAACCATGACAGTAGTAAGCATACGAAGAATAATCACACCAGTACGGATGGAAGGAAGAAATATCATACGAATCATAATCAGACTCGCATTATTACAGACACGAACAATAAGACGAACCATATTACGGAGAAGACCAGCAATACGAACAAACACAATAACAACATTAAGACTTTTACTACGACTAATCATGTTCATACTAATGCTAATCGTAGTAGCGATCGTACGAACAATAGTAATCATAATACGCATACGACTAGTAATACTACGGCGACTACTAATGCTGCTGCTACTACTACTACTACTACTACGACTAATACGACTACTACCACTACTCCTATGATTGCTTCGACAACTACTACTATTCAAAAGCCTATCGCTAACACGAAGAATGCGAATCTCATAATATAATACCGGTAATAATAACATTAGTATTAGTAGTCTGTTCGAAGTATCAATAGCATTTCTATCACTAATAATACAACATGTATTAAACATATCAATAAAGTTAATGCAACGCATAATAGCAATAATACTATTATCGTGCTCAGTATGAAGAAGAATAGTGCCAATACTTAAGTTAATAGCGACAATACTCATAGTCATCTTAATACTACTTATTCGATTATCACCAATACCATTATTTGTCCAAATCTGAATCGAAATCCGAATCCTAATGCGGATAAGAATGCGAAGGCGAACGCGATTAATAACAACCAGACAACTAATAAACACACTACTAATTAGAAGGCTAACCATAAAACGCATCGTAGGAGTAAGAGGGGGAGGAAGAGGAGGAAGAGAAGGAGGAGGAGGAAGATGAGGAGGAGGACGGGGAGGAGGAGGAGGAGGAGGAGGAGGAAGAGGAGGAGGAGGAGGAAGAGGAGAGTCAGGAGGAAACGGAGGATGATAATAAAACGCATAAGAGGAATAACGATAATAATGCAACTAATATTAATAAGAAGAATAACAGAAACCATGAACATAAGAAGCATGCTCATAAGGAGACGCAGAACAATTCGATATCAGGAGTACTAAGAAGACGGCTACTATAATAATAAGAACCAAAAGTAGAAGACGAATAACGTTAATATGAGTATTAATAATAACAGTAATTCTTATAGCGCATTAGGAAAAGCAATACGGATAAGAGTAATAGTAAACGTACCATTAACAAAAAAGCACGTTTATCCGGGTAATAAGGGTAATCCCCAGAAGAAGAAAATGATTCTACCATACACGAGACATGTAATACCGATACCAGTAAGGCGAAACATACTCATACCATGAGTACTAATACTATAACATGCATAATAACACTGAGGAGAGTTGTACGAATAACGAAGATTCTCACACAAAATTCAATACTAATACTAATCATACTGCGATCAACAACACTAATTCAATTCACGGTATTACGATCAATTCACGGTACTGCGATCAGCAGCACTAATCATACTAATTTTACGAATCTTACGAATAATGGTAATAACTTTTTATCATGAGTAACACTAGTACGAAACTACTATTATTATTCATATCAATGATACTACGAACCATCATAATAAAAGGAGGGTGAGGAGGAGGAATAGGAGGAGGAGGAGGAGGAGGAGGAGGAAGAGGAGGAGGAGGAGGAGGAGGAGGAAGAGGAGGAAGAGAAGGGGGAGGAAGAGGAGGAGGAGGAGGGGGAGGAAGAGGAGGAAGAGGAGGAGGAGGAAGAGGAGGAGGAGCCCACAGGAGGGTACTTCGGCGTGTGGGCGGCACGTCGGGGCTCCTGGGTGAACTGAAATCCGCCAAGACGTCGCCTGCGCAGGGCGGCGCGGCGGGCCAGTTGCGTCGGTGCCCTGATGGGCCTGGGTGCCCCCCCCCCATACTCTAGCGGTGATTCCGCTGTGGTACGGGTCTGCCGTTCCAGGTCCCTCGGGGACCTGGCGTTCTGGGGCCGTGAGGGTACCCACCCCTGGGCCAGCGTGGGTCTCGGTCCGCGTCGGCCTGCGTGGTGCCTGCCTTTGTGGGGGCAGGCCCCAGCCGCAGTATTGGCCCTCCCGTAAGGTCGCGGGGCGGAGGTGTGGCTGGGGGGGTCGGCCTACGGGCGCGGCTCAAGACGTTGTCCCACTTGTCCCCCTTTGGGCAAGAGGGTCTGCGGGGGTGGGCCTGGACGCCCATGACCTTACCGCACCGCGTGCCTTGCGTGGTGGCCCGTCGGGGGTGTCCAGGATCACCTGGTGCTGGAAGAGTCAGGTAGGCATGGGTGCCGCTCACCTTCGGTGAGTCGGTGCTGCACTTCAAGCAGCACGTGTGAGGCCAGCGCCTTTCTTCGGCTTTCCTTCTTTCTCTTCCTCCTCCTCCTCCTCCTCCTCTTGCCCCGTCGGTGGTCGGCGGCCTGCTCTCCCATGCGCCTTGGGATCTTTATGCTTTTTGGGGTAGGTCGCGCTGACCCAGCTGCTTCGCAATCTGTGTCGCAGGAGGAGGAGGAGGAGGAGGAGGAGGAGGAGGAGGAGGAGGAGGAGGACCAGTGTCAATCCGAGAGTCGTTACTGATGTTGGAATAAACTTACACTCCAAGCTCCCTCTTCATAGCCCCCATACAACGGTTCATTTCCGTTGAGGGAACCGTCTGGAGACCCTGAAGCGTTCCAAAATATTGCTCTTGGGACTCCAACGCCACGGTTCAACTTGACAATTGAGTGTTGACGATCGTGAGTCGTGCTTTCTGGGAGTTCAACGCAACGAGTCAACATAACTGTTGTGCCCGCGAAATCCTGAATCCTTTCAAACACACTTTTCGGTACGTTGATAATGGGAATCAGTGAAATTCTTTCGAATCCGTGAAATTCTTTCACATTTTGTAAACGAATGTGCGCGGCGCTGGGGCGAGAAACGCATTTTGAAACAAAGCCGCCCTCGATCCGTGAAGGTTTTATATTTTTGTTGTAACGAATTTGCGTCGCCCTAAAACGAAAACCACATTTTGAAAACCGCCCGCCCTCAATCCGTGAAGTTCGCGCAAATCTTTACAGCGAATATGCGCCGCCTTATGGCGAGAACCACATTTTGAAAACCACCCGCCCTTAATCCGTAAGATCTTGAAAAATGTTTAAACGAACGTGCGCCGCGCTTGGGCGAGAGCGACATTTTGAAAACCACCCGCGTTCAATTCGTGAAACTCTTGCAAATTTTTAACACGACTGTGCGCCGCGCGAAGGCGGGAACAACATTTTGAAAACCACACGCCTTCCATCTGTGGTTATGTGGTCAATTTTTAATCTTCAGAGTCATAAGTGGCGAGGAATCAAGCGAAACGCCCGGCCCGCCCTTTCGATTGGCCTCGGGGTGCGACAGGGAGGAGTTGGTGACAACGAAAAGGAATGGAGGAGGAGGGGGAGCAGGAGGGAGAAGAAGAGGAGGAGGAAGGTAGTGGAAGGCCGGGATTTTTTGTGGGAGACGCGGTGTGACAAGGAATGATGGAGGAGGCTGGGCGAGGGAAAATGATGGAGGACGTCGGAGGAGACTGGGGAACACGATGGGGATGTTGATGTTGTTGGCGATGCTGCTGTTGGTGGTGATGATGATGATGATGATGGTGATGCTGATGCTGCTGATGTTGATGATCATGATGCTGCTTGTGATGATGATGCTGAGGATGAAGTTGTTGATGTTGGTGATGATGCTGACGATGTTACTGATGCTACTGATGTTGATGGTGTTGATGAGAGGCGACGATTACGACGACGATAACGATGATGCTGAAAACGATGCTGATGATGCCGGTCATGGTCTTGCTGATGTTGACGGTGATGATGCTGATGATAGTAGTGTTGTTGACGACAGGACGGCGACGACGACGCCGATGGTGCTGGTAAAGATGATGATGATGTTGCCGGTGGCGCTGATGCTGATGATGGTGGAGTCGTTGACGGCAGGCGATGATGACGATTCTGATGATGATGATGATGATCATGGTTGTGATGATGATGGTGGTGGTGATGCCGATGGTGATGGTGATGATGGTGATGATGATGATGATGATGGTGTTGACGGTGGCGCTGATGCTGATAATGGGGCTGTTGTTGACGACAGGCGACGACTATGACGACGACGATAAGGATAGACGACGACGACATCGACGACGATGACGACGACGACGGCGAGGATGACGATGAGGATAATGCTGCTGATGATGATGATGATGATGATGATGATGATGATGATGATGATGATGATGATGATGACATTGATTACCATGATGATGATGAGGATGATGATGATAATGATGCTGATGCTCATCATCATCATGGTGATGGTGATGGTGATCTGGATGGTGATGGTGATGGTGATGGTGATGGTGATGGTGATGTCGATGGTGATGGCGATGGTGATGATGAAGGTGATGGTGATGGTGATGATGATGATGATGCTGCTGCTGATGATGACGATGGCGATGATGATGATGATGATGATGATGATGATGATGATGATGATGATGATGATGATGATGATGATGATGATGTAGTTGCTGCTACTGCTGCTGCTGCTGCTGCTGATGATGATGATGATGATGATGATGATGAATGTGGTGGTGGTGCTGCTGATGATGACGGATATGATGATGGTACAGCTTTTGTTATTGCTGATGGTGGTGATGATGAGGATGAGGATGAGGATGAGGATGAGGATGAGGATGAGGATGAGGATGAGGCTGATGCTGATGCTGATGCTGATGCTGATGCTGATGCTGATG